GAGCAGAACAGGGAGTGCTGGTCGGTAAGAGTGAAAAAATACCTGCTGTGACCACAGGCTCTGGGCTTGGAGGTGATCAGTCCATCCTCTTTATATTTCTTGACTGCACAGACTGGGGTCGGGCACATAGGTTGAGTCACAGCTGCAGGACAGAGCGACCCTGTGATGTCCCCAAGGGAGAACCTGACACTCCAGGGTGGATTGAATGCAGATTTGCAGAATCTGGGTCACAACAATGTGGGACAAATACCCAGCATCTTGCACAGCGGCAGAGGTTCAGCTGCAAGGCTATACCTGCTTGGTCACTGCCAGCTGCAATGCTGCTCGGTGGCTCTGAGCAGGAAGGAACTTGGGGCAGGAGATGGGATGACCTTGTCCTACACTTGGGCCCCCACGCATTGGAAATCTCACCCAACCCCCAGCCAGATAGACCATCAGCCATCAACCCACCCTACTTCTTCTGCCAATGGTTATGCCCTTGGGTGGTTTTTCCCTGGCACTCGTGTATTTATCATGTCCATGGGTTAGGCTGGGCTGCCTTAATTGTAAAGTCACTGTTAAGACTATTTGCATATTATTTACAAAATAGCTCATTAGATAGTTTTTATAAATATTACATGCGGCTACACAAGACTTTGTGATGATGTCTCTTGACATCTGTTTATTTTACAGGAGATCACAGAGTTTGCTGCTATTCTGCCTGGCCTTGGAAGGAAGTTTCAGCAATCTGATGGAACCCAGTCCCAATTAAGACTCAGTTAGAGACAGATGAATATTTCATAATGAATAGTGCGTACGAAGTAATTCACCTCTTTTCTCCATGCACAGCTTGCAATTTTCTCAAGTGAATTCTTTATTCAAATTATTCACAGAAAAACAAGTATAAATAATTCTTGTTCTGCACGTTCTTCAATAACTGTCGACACAAACCTTGCAGAGCTGGGTCAGCTGGACGCAAGCAATTGATAACACTGCCATGACCTATATGTTCAAAAATCATCACTCAGCTTCCCCAGATCATCAGGGATGTGTAAATCCCCAGATAAATAAATGCTGGATCCTTTTAATTTGCCCTCTTTGTTCTGACTCCTGGAGGGCGTTTGAATTTAATTTTCAAGCTTTTCTCTGCAACATAAATGAAAGCTGAAACTTTCATCTAATTACGATTCCACATCTCCAAGGATAACAGCAAATACCAAGATGCTTAGGATCAAAACAAGAGCTGATGACCCCGAGGTGAGCGAGTTTCTTCTCTAACTGGTTCAGCAAAACTCTTCAGCGAACATTTGTACCAAAAATTCATAATTACACTCCGGTTTGGTACATTCACTGAAAGAGACGCTTAGACTTTGCTTGTTCTGTCTCCAGTGACACCTCCGCTCCATTATTCACTGTGGAGGCATACGAGGAGTAGAACTATGTCACACAAGTCAGCAAGTCCCACAGATATTTCCTACTTGCTCAGCTTTATCTTCAAGCCTGTCATCTGGTGATCAAGGCTCTCCAAAGTTTGCTGTTTTCAGGAAAGGTGTGGGTATTTTTTTTCTAGGCTAGGAAAAAGATCACTTACCCGAGAGGAACGAGAGCAGCAGCAAGCTGAGAAGCACTAAGGCACCTGTTGCCTTCATGCTGCAGGTAGCTCTTTAGTCCAAGCCAAGTGATCTGTGCAGGAGGTGTCGTCTCAGCACCGAAGCCCACAATGTGCACACAGACCTGCCTTTCTGTGTATTTATGTGCCCATCTGTAGCTGTCCTCATTCCCCACCTTAATTGTGAGAACTTCTCCACTTCGTTTCTAAAGCCATTATTGGTCCTGGCCATGTTTATGGTGCTTTAGGAATGCTGCCCTGTCCACATCAAACCTAGAAAGGGCTAATTACATGAGTGATAGACTCAGGCTTGTAATATCTTCTTTTTTTTTTTTCTTTTTTTTTTTTTTTTTCTAAATAGTCACAGGATTCTCACAAGGGTGAATTTTCAAAGCAGTGATTCATCGGGGAAGCTGGTAATTTTCATTCTCTGGGCCCTTGCTGAATGCCAGCTCCAAGGCTTTGGTGCGGCGTGATGACACTCACTAGACGTTACGAAATAAATCACAGCATGAGAACGTGTTGTCTGTGAAACCAATTATACGTTGTTCCCTGGCTATTTTTGAGGATGGTTCTAAATTTGTTCGGTTGGGGTGGAGAAGCTCTCCAATGTGACATGCTCTCATAGCTGTGTGCACAGTCCCAGACAGGACTGTTGAATCCCCTCCCTGAACTATTAAATCTCTAGCTGTCAATGTTTTCCAGTTTTTCATATTCACAAACATATGTTAAGTCTCTGCTCCCACAGCAAGTGGCAGTGAAGGGAATTTGATGGGCAATTGAGAGACTTGAGCTCTATTTCCAGTTGAGTCTGTGCAAGGATTTGGGTTCAGCTGCATCATGTGTAAAATATCTGTTCAGATAAGAAAAAGCTTAAAATTTTAGTAAGCTTTCCTAAGGAGACAAGGCTTGGGAGACCAATGTGTATAGATATATCTGTTCGTTAGTTCCCCCAGTATATTTTGAATCTACAACTAGTTCCAACCAAATCTGACATAGGAGAGAAAAAAATCTTTTGAAAACAACATATTTTCATACATTTTTCTAGCAAGAGATGAAAGATGCTACTAACATTGTCAGACAGCAAGGGAGAGGGTTTCTGCCTGAAAGCAAGTTATGAATGCCCTACATCTAGGGAAGCATTAGAGTTTGCAGCTTGCTAAATATCTTAAAATCCACCCAGCAGAGGAACTGTGACTGACAGGTGAATTCTCAGATGTCTATTAAGGGTGAGCTCATGACACAGCCTCTCATATAATTTGGTTATCAAGTCAGTCAGCCTCAGTGCTGTTCAAAATCACACTTAGTTCTGCCACTCGCAGCACTACTTGTTTGCCTTTTCTAGTTCCATACGTCACTGCTCACGACCTCAGTCCTTTATCTACCCAAACGGTTTCGGTTGCTGCAGCATAACTGACTGGCTGCGGGGCTCAGCAAAAAGTACCGCAGGGACCCATCCCTTCCGGGCTGAGGAGACCAAATTACCAACCAGGTGATTATCATTATTACCCCTTTCCACCTCTTTATAACACCTGAAACGGGACATTTGCTAGTATAGGTGAAGGAATTCTCTGTCCCTCTGACTTCTCTAAAAATCAGTGACACAAGAAGGGCACCAGGACCTTGCTTTGCAGTCTAAGGGGTGTAGTTGGGTAGAGTCTTGATGGTGTCAAGCCGAGTACTTACCTGTGCTGGGTCAGTCTTTGCTCTTATGTGATACAAACCTTTCCATCTTCTAAGGAGTTCTTGCTTAGAGGCTCATGAGGTATCTTGGCTACAGCCATGAACCCAGTATTTGCCATTTGCCTTTGCTTTCCCAAAGCCTTCTGAGCTCCTAAGCAAGTATCTGCTTTCCTCAGGCAGAAATTACCCCTACAGAGGAGGCTCACTGTAGGATCTTGCTGTTGATGAGGATTTCCTGCTATGACCAAAATCCACTAGTCAGTGGCCTCTCTAGAGACCTCTTGGCCAATGAGAAATTACAGCAGAGCTCTGTCCTCTGCTGATGGGTCTCTGTTCACATCCATGAGCTACTTAAAATGTTCCTATTTTTCACACACACTGCAGGTAAACAGTGAGGAACCTCATGACTCTCCAGTTTATCTTTTCTTATGAGCAGGCAGGAAGGCATGATGCAATTTATGTTGCCTGCACTAACAGAAAAAAACTTGAAAATAAGAAGTTCTATCCCTCTTCCTAGGAGAGAGAATTGCCCTGTGCTGGTATTAGAGGAAGGACAAGCCTCTTATCTTCTGATGAGAAGTGCCTACAACATTCCTGGTCAAGAAATTATCTACTTCAGGAAACAAGACCCAAAGAAAAAGGCTTGGAAGTCACAGATTTTGTCCTAAATATCAGCCTTAGCAGCAGATATTCTTACTACGTAACAAGGGAATGAGAGGTGGAGAAAGGAAGAGGAAGGGAGTGTGTGAGCCATGGCACTTGGGACTTTTTGCCTGTGCTGTTTGCATATTAGTTCCTTGACTCACCCAAAAAGGTGTCACTCTTTAGGCTCCCACAAAGATGCTATCTCCATACCTTGGAGCTACCAGCACATCTTCTGGCCCTTCTTTCCTGGACTTAGAAAATCCTAGACTTTTTCCTGAAGGGTCCCCTGTCCTACCTCTGCCTCATATACCCCAAGTACAACTTCTGAGATATCTTCTCCAAGAAGCCGAAAACCTGAGCCCAGTCTAATTTCTTCTTGGGTTCTCATCAGGCTCATTACAACCCTGCTTAGCTTGCTGCAATTTTCTGCTGATCAACACAGTCTCAATGGACACACCCTTCAAGGAAGCAGCAGTTCCTAATTTTCTTCCCTATGAGATAGCCTCCTCCCTTTGCCATAAGCCTCCTTTTTATAATGCACTGACAGACCTGCCCCTTGCCCAGGTGTGACCAGGTAGGGCTGACCACGGCCACCTTTCTCTTTCACGCTTCCCCAGGGCCATCCCCCCATGCCAGGGTCCCTAAAAGAACCAGTTCCTCCAAGACTCAGTGCTGTTACAAAAACAAATCCATTTACACTCTATAAAACACCAAAACTGGGAAAGTGGCAGTATTTTATAGCATCTTGGTTTCTCTTCTGATGGTTTGGTATGGAGTGACGTACTCTTATGAGGGCTTGGGTTGGTGTGTGATGGGCGTTACACTTCGCTCTTTATTGTGGTTTATTTCACAACTTCTCCTGCCTGACAGATAAGCACCTAAAAGCCTGAAGACCATTACCCCTTCCCTGAAAAAAAAAAAAACAAAACCAAAAACCAGTCCATGGCTAAGAAAGTGGATGCATTTAATTTATTGATCAATCAAAGCAGAGACCAATGCGCAACAGCTGAGCGAGCAGGGAAGAGCATGTTTGATTGCAGGATTTGTAAGGGAAAAATCAGCGTGAAGGAGATGGCTCCAGCGCTCAGCATTCACCAAAGTGTCTGAGGAACAGAGTTCCCTGGCTCCGCCTGAAGAGAAAGAGGGAAACCAAAATTACAGACATGGATCTCAGTTTTATGATCTAAATTTACCCAAATAAGCCAACACTTTTGTACTCTCCAAGTTATAAAGTACTTCAATCAACGTTTCACCTTTTTCCTGATTCCCCAGGTTACATGCTTTCTCACATGAAAGAGATTTGGGACAAACACCATAATTTTGGACATCTCCTACAGTCACAGTATAAATCACTCTGTCAGGGAGGGAGTCAGCAACGCTATGAGACTGCAAACAGGGATCTGGATTTAATTGCAAGACCCACTTGGGCTTAAGATCTTCAGTTCCTGGTGGGAAGAACCAGGAACAGACAAGCAAGCATTGGGAGAGGAACACGGAGCAGAGATGCATTTACTGAGGGGCTTATGGGAGCTCTGGGGCTTTCACACCAGCTGCTGCTCCGATGCATGTGTGCTCCAGCTCCCCTGGTTTCATGGCTGCATGGTGAGCCCCATACTTACGAAACTGCATTGCAGAACTGGCACTTGTTTCCATAAGTTCTGCCATCGGAGCCACAAAGTGGGTTATAGTCAGCGGTGCAGATGAGATTGCTGCCCTTCTCTTGACTGTCGCCACAGTCAATCTCCTAATAATGGAGCAACAACAGGTTTTAAAGCTTTTGTTCCCCATATTTTCCTACATGAGTGCTTTATGTTTATTTAATGTTTACAACATGGCAAAGCATAAAAGCACTTTTCAGGTGCAGGACTCTGTTGTTCCAGCAACTCTGCAAACTCAAAGGCAGAGAAAGTGCTTGCTTGGAGTAACCTGAAGTGAGAAGGCGGGCATGGGGCGGCGGGGGGTGATTCTAATAAATACTATTATAAATAGTGGACTGACCGTGCTGGTAGTTCCAGGCTGGTCCTCCCAGCGGTACCTCTGTCCTGGTACAGCAGGCTGGCAGAGGCAAGAGTACAGAAAGTGGATGGTTACAAGTCACACTATAGAAAGTATTCCTCCTATCCAAGGAATCACCACTACTAATAGTGCTGGTAGTATATGACCCTCCTGATCTCCCAGAGAAGGGATGTGGCAACACCCCTTGTTCAGCCCCTTTCCTGGAAGGTCTCAGCACCAGCTGACTGCTGTTCTCAGGACAGAGTGGGGACTGCATATTTGAGCTATGGATTTGGTTCAATACTCTCTGACCCTGGCATACTTTAACTATTTTCCTCAAATCCTGTTTCCAGGCCAAATGCACCGTGACAGTGCAGGCATTTCTATTATTTAGTTACGATTCAGTGAATTTGTATTGTAAAATGTATTGTAACAGTAGTTAAGAGTGCAAATCTTTGCACTTTACCTGGAAGCATTGTCCAACATTGCGCAGGTCTATGTCCAGTCCATTCCTTTGGGAAGAAAGTGAGTTGAGAATGAATGAGCACAGTGCAGCTGCTTCATGAGTCAAAACTACCTCGTTACGCTCTAAATACCAACATGAGCACCTGCTGATCCAGAAACCCCTCCCGTGACCCAGCCCCTTCTCTTACGCCACAGCATTGCAGAACTTGCACTTGTTACTGTAGGTAACGCCGTTGGTGCCACAGACAGGCATGTACTCCATGGTGCAGGGCATCGCTTGACCACTGCTTGATCTCAGGTGGCCAGTACAGTCAAGCTGAAACAGTCAACAGAACAACATTTTAATCTCTGCTCCCCTTTGCATCAGTCCTGTGTAATGGAGCTTGGTGCAGGAGGCATCTCCCCTTCTCCCCAGAGCTGCAAGGGGAGAGGAGCTTCCAGACCCAGTGTGGTGGAGTTGAAGGAGCAAAACAGTTGAAATCCTGCACGTTTAAAACAGCAAAACAGTTGAAATCACAGCGTGATCCTGGAGTACCTATTTTTCCTGTCCTGAAGTGGGCTTCATCCCTATCATCTTGGGAATTTTTACCATGAAAGCCAGATCTTCGCCTAAAATGCCTTGTGCAGCAGCAATTTTTACGATGAAATGTCAATGCCACTAGAAAATGGAGTTTACGCTCACCTCGATGTTTCTGCAATTACTCTGAGTGTACTGAAATGGAAGTCATTGTATTATGTTAAATTGCACAGCCAGAGTGTTTCTTTACTTTCTCTCTCTAAACTAAAAATAGATACTTTTCCTGTTCATGGTAGCCCCATATATTGATAAACTTCATGATAAGCATTCTGGTGGAATTGGTTTTTCTTTTACAAAATTATGATTTAGTCAAAATCCAAGCTTCCTCTGGAAATATCTTAGCTTCAATATGCCTCTAAGTTTAAGTCTAATTCTAAAGAGAAGTGTTTTGATAATGCTGAAGCATTATTGAAATAAAAAGTTTCCATTCTTAAGTCTGGTGTTATAACACTTTTAAACTCACTGATTTTAACTGTTCAAACTAAATTTGAAAGTAATTCTTGCAAATCTGAAATTCTTCATTTTCACTCAATTTCTGACAGTTCGAAATTATGTGGTTTTCATACACAACTAATCCTAGGCAAGGTTTCTGTCTAGTTCTCTGCCATCATTTCACCCACTACTGCTGAGCGCAACAGGAGAAGGAACCCATCTCAGACCATACCTTAACACACCTTCCATCGTGCTTCTTGTCAATGGCTCGGTGACGGCTAGAGGGAGACAGAGAGAAGGAAAGGAAGGGTTAATCTGTTGATATCATGGAGTCATCTCACTCGTTAAGTCCCTCCACTCGTAAAGCCCCAGTAATTAATCAGTTTCAGGAGCTTGGACACGGAAGATTGTGGGCATTAGGGGAGACAGAAACCTACAAAAAATCTAGTCCACCCCAGAATTAGTCACAACCCCAAAGGCTTTTGTTTGCTGCTCGAACTGGCATTGTAGGTAATAGGGAGACCTTATACTCACAGGATTTCTCTGCAGTGGGAGCACTCGTTGGGGTAGGTAATGTTGTCAGTCCCACAGACGGGTTCGTAGTTGCGGGGACAGGCAAGCTGTGCTCTTCCAGTCAACTGGTACATGCCACAGCGGGCCTGTTAAAGAGGACTTGTGATGTCTCCGAGAAGGGTGTGCTTGTGTCAATCACATTTTTGCTGAGTTGGGAGACTACTGTTGATAATTTTTTTTCTCTATCGTTCCTCCACGGTGAAGAACAGATGGAACAAAATATACTGTGTTTCTTACGACATATAAAAGCACCTTTTTGCTATTAAGACTTTCAGTACTTTCAGCAAGAACTGTGGTCAAAAATGATCATTTCTTGAGGAATCAAGACCAGGAAGATATTTAGACAGTTATTCAATAGCTGTACAGATTTTCTTCTGACGGTCTGTGCTGACCCTCACTCTACATTATTAATCACTGTCTTTTTTATCATCAGCATGGTAAGGTATCTTTCTCTGATGAAGATATTTTCTTATTTTGGGGAAAAGAGGTGGTTTAATACTTAGGGGCACTTTTCCTTCTTCTTTTCTCACTCATTCTCCTTTTTTTCCCTCCCTCAAGCCTTCCCTGGGATACAGTATGATACAGTATGGATTATCCATCTAGACTTAGAAATTAAGACTAAATGACAAAGAAGATCTATTACTTACCCGATGTTGAGCCATAACAATTTCTACAATAAAAACAGAGATAATAAAATATAAAAACTGTACAACGTCCTTGACTGAAATTCCTTTGGAATCATCAATTTCCCAACTGAGTAACCAATATACTTTCTCATTACTGAGAAGTTATTATTTTCCCAAATGTTTTATCTACTCCAAGTAAACAAGAAGCTGTATACTAAGAATAAAAATATCAATTATTGGTGAAACCAGAAAATTTGACTCACTAAAGAAGAAATAGGACATAAACTTTTCTCCTTTTGCAGCACTATTATCCTCACTAAAGCTCATAATCTTAAATCAGAGAAACGCATCCTACCAATCTATAGTGTTTATTTGCACAAGGATAAAGTACATGAAAAGAGAACTCACATTTTACTAAATCATCACATCTCCAAAAGGCTGAACTCTCCTTTAGGATGTATATAAAGGCAAAGGTTCAGGAGGACTAGAGATACTAGCATAGACTATAACAAAAACAACTTACCAGAAAGGCAGCCGAGAAGCACAAGCCCAAGAAGGGCAACATTTCTTGTTGCCTTCATAGCGGAGATGGTTACTTGGAAATCTGTGGCTGTTGAGTTCAGTAGATGGTACTCAGCCCTCTCTCTCTGCGCTATATATACACATCTCCCTGACCTTGCGAAATCATCCCATAAAGTAATTATTTGCTCTGTAAACTAAGAAAACTGTATTGATTATTGAGTTGAGCTCTAAAGAATACTTGTTTGTTAGAGAGATGCCCAGAAGAATTAAAGAAAAATGTGAGCTACACCCAGCTTGTTAATGCAGGTGCCCTGCTGTACATTGAGTGATTTGTACTTTCCAAACAAGAGCACTGTCTCAATAGCAGATGTTGTGAAATTACATATAGAAGTTGGTAAAGCAAAAAAAGCCCATTTGTTGAAAGTGTATGAACTCGTGCACATCATATTACATACACTAGACAGTATCTGGGCTCCAGATTTGCATCGTAGACCAGAGTCAGGGACAACAGCATGGGCCACCCTAAGCTTTTACAGACATAAAATCTGGGGGTTGTCAGGCATCAGTGTACTTTAAAGATGCTGAGGGCTCAATGAATCTCTCCACGGTCTGTCCTGTAGTTTCCTGGTACACTGGATTTCTCACCAACAGGAAAGAAACAGTCATCACAACAGGAAAGCATTACCTAAAACTTCAGAAGCTTGTAAGACATTTTTATGTAGGAGCAGGAGTTATTCATCTGTTAGCAATGGGTATGAGTCTGATTAAGAAATGATGAGAATAAGTAGCCCTAAATCTGGACTGGGATAATGGTAAGTGAGTGATGTTCCTGTGCAGGTGAAATGGGCTTCTTAATACCAAAGACATTGAAGGAAAAATTGCAGCAGCTGCAAACAGAAGGTGAATCCTTAGGCTCTCCCCTTCCCTCTCTATTATATGACATTAAATTTAGAATGTCAGCTGAAAGCCATGTTTTAGGGAAGATAAGTGAAGACTAATGTGCTAGGCTCTGTTAAGTGGTTCAATTCTATCGCAAGTGTATGGAAAAACAAATAAAGAATATTGCGTAAAATAATACATTTTTGATTAAAGGTAGTCACAGAAGGAAGTGAGGGACGGAACACATTTGTGCTTTAGAAGAAACTTGATTCATACATGTGGCTTGAAGGCAGCCTGAGTTTTAAATAGAAAATCATAATTATTTTTCTTATTATCCTGGGAGATGTTGAAGCCTTGGCATGGGCAGATAAATCATAAAAATGTAGCTGAAACTGTAAGGGAACTCTAGTCACAGAATAGAGCTTGTGGGATTTGGCCTGTTCATATCAATAATTTTCCTGAAAAATAAATGAGTAATGCTGTTTGGATCTCATTCACAAATATCAGAAGTTGAAGAGTTCCTTTGAAAGCTGTTTCTGTTGTATTCTTACCATCCTAAGTGACTTGACTTACAACTTCCTTGAACTGATTTTTGAGCATATTTGGAAGAAAAACAGTAACCACAGGAGCATTAATAATTATTATTCTCCAAGGGCAAGAATACCAAAGCCTGAAAACAAGGCTTCCTGAGAACTTCCACCAGCCGCTGGTGGAGATGGCACTTGCTGTCTCTGCAGCAGTTTGTGAGGCAACAGGAAAGTAGCCTGTCTCCTCTTCAGCCCTATGACCCGAGCTTCTCCATATCCACCCCCAGACTGGAGATCCCCAGTTACCAGAAACTGTGCTGCTTCTCCAGTTGCCTCCCCACCAGGCTGAAGTCACTCTGGTCACTCAGGAGCTGTTGTGAATGGCAGGGTATCTGCTAGGGAGCAACATCGTTCTCATGTTTGGCCAACACCTGCCCTTGGATTAATTAGATCCACTGGAGAGATCAGCTGATCCACATGCTGCTTCTGAGGGTCGAGGTCACCAGCCAGGACTGCTCCAAAAGCAGCTCTTTTCTTCCAGTAATCCCTGACACTTCACAGGGCAGCAGGGAGAGGAGAGAATCAAGGAAAGCGTCTCGCTACAGGGTCCATGAGAAAGGATGGGACATAATTGGTAGCAGCCAGGGCAGGGCAGGGAGAGCTGCTGGGTGAGGTGTGACATGGGATTGCACAAGGAGCTCCACTAATAAGAAACAGAAGCAATGGGACAGAACTAATTGCGGGGCAGCAGATGGGTTGCAAACAGGCGGTAGGAGCAGTCAAAAACAACTGTCTCTCCATGTGTTTGTAGGAGTAAGCTTCAGGAAATGTCATACACGTTGCAAATGGAAAGGGCAAAGTGAACTCACTTGTCAAAACCCTTCTCTGATATTCAGGAGTATCATGAAGGTGGGCTCATGAAAGTGACTTTGGGCACATGATTGTTTTAATGTTTCTACAGATATTAAATCCATAGAAAAGTTTAAATAAAATTCTTCCTGCTATTGCAAGTTCTTAGAGGGTGAACATTTAAGAAGGTTATGGCCACATGAATTTGATAAACATTGGTAGTCATATGATGGATCGATCCTCTTGTGTTAAGGTAAATTTCCAGTAATTCTGGAAATTCTACCCAGTTTCTAATCCAGTGTTATTTCTTTCCATAGCAGTGATATTTTCCCAGGAATTTTTTCCTCTGGTTTTGAGACTCCCTATCTCAAGCACGTCCATAATCTACCACGACCTAAAAATTCTTCATTTATGGTCCCTGCTTTAGTTTAAAACGTGCCACAGGCTTTATCTAGCTACAAAGAGAAATGATTTTTTTATTTTTTTTTATTTATTTTTTTTAAGAAAAAAAAAAGAGGGATGTGTGCACTCAAGACCACATGTTGTTATTCCAGCATCAGTATCATTGTCCTGTACAAAGAGAAATGATTTTTATTTATTTATTTATATTTTTTAAGAAAAAAAAAAGGGGGGATGTATGCACTCAAGACCACGTGTTGTTATTCCAGCATCAGTATCATTGTCCTTGCTCTGGTATCCTGCTGTCACACACCACACTGTAATCAAGAATAAAGTGGTTCTGTGCTCCACGCTATGCTACTGTAAAGATAAATGCAAAATGCATTTCTTTGCAGTTGACTAGCGATGTGGCACACTGCAAGAGTTCCCAAAACAGGTTGCTCTTCCCAGACTTGTACACACGGGGGCAGAACTGGACCTTCTATGAGAACATTAATTCAATTTACAGCAAGCAAAGCCCCTGCTCTAAGCCGCACTCATCTAATATTTCTCCTTGTAGTTCAGCCATCTGATTGCTGCCTGCATATCTCCATTCTTTTAAGCACAGATGATATCACAGGCAAGGGTGTCTGGAATAATTTGACAGTCTGAGAGCCGCATGCTAACAGCAAAATGCTGAGGATCTGGCCCCGCACGTCCCAATCCCTCAGCAAATCTCAGCTCTGCCTCTCTGCAACAGCTCTGATACAGCCAGCCCCTTAAAACGACGTCTCCAAGTAATTTTCTTTTAAAACATCATTTTATTTTTCTCCGCATCAAGAAAGAACGTGGTAACAAACCGTTTATCCTGAATGAAGCCTCAGAGAGAAACTGCATTAACAAAAAGGTCTAGACTGGCCTGAGGTATATTTTGGCCAGCAACAAGTAGAACAATACACTAAAACAGAAGCACTGATATAAAATAGAGCAGAACAAAATAACGACATGCAATGTGTTAATCAGGTTGTGGGGTAATTGAATGGCATTTCGTAAATTCACAAACATCAGATAATGACATAAAGTGCTGAGGTACTGCTTAAAGAATTGTACCATAAAATACCTCGGCAGGCAGACAATGTTTCCTGCCTTGAATTTCCTGGAGGGAGAGTTAGATTAGTAATGGTGAGAGGATTTTTTCTTGTTGTGGCAGGATTTTATTGAGCAGCAACAAAAAATTTATTTGCAACTAGGTGCCCATAAGAGAGGACTGTCTTCCTCTCCATCCTCAGGAGCTGGGGCAGGGGGGCTGGGGATACAGCTGGGGTCCTGCTCTGCCCTCTGTTATTGCTGAGTAATGTTGTGGAACTCCGCAGCAGGCTGGAGGATTTGTCCCCCTTCATTTCTACTCACAGTTTCCCCTCAGTTGCCTGGTGGATTTTCATTTAGTGGACTTGGCTCCTGAAAGGTGCCCTCTGAGGACCACAGGGATCTTGATCACGATCAGAAGCTCCGCTTGTCTCCAAGGCATCATGGCTCCTGGGGGCCATCCTCATCCTCTCTGCAGCTCCCCAGGAAAGAAAATAAGCGCTAGAGCTGGTGTTCTCTTACCCCCAACTCCTTCGCTCAGTGGGGGGGGACAAGAGGGAGCATGAAGCCCCTGAGACCCTGGCTCTACCTCCCAGAGCCTCAACTTGTCTTGGTCCTAAGAAATTGCATCTGACACTGAAATGTCTTCCCGCACACAGACGTTCCTCTCACAGGAGGGATGTTCCAGCCCCAGGAAGGAACTTGGCACTAAATGGTTGCAGAGAGTCATGTCTTTTGGAAAGAAATTGTCTCCTTTTAGAGAGCAACTCTCTCCAGTCTCTGGAAAGTGACACATTGTCACTTAAGATCATTAACTATTTGACTGTGAGACTGTTGCCTGTACAGCACACCACACTGCCAGCACTTCTCTGCTAATGAATAATAAATTAACGCTATGACTCTGAGCCCTTCCTTTCATCAGCTGAGATTTCCAGAGGCCGAAGAATCTCAAAGGATCCCCTACAAGGGACAGTCGACGTAATTACCTATAAGCAGCAGCTAAGTGGTGGGTGAGGTGCAGAAACAGGCTGCAGTAGTGATTGCTAGCAGTCCTACGAACATCAGGTCCATTAGGACTGACTGCCCACTGGTTTTCTGCAACACCCTGCAGCGATGAACGTTGCAAACATGAAGGTGGGCAGCCAGGTATCTGCCTGCCCAGAGAAAACGTCCTGTCCCATTGCTTTGAGAAGCAGAGTGGATTGCAAAAGGGCTTCTCTCACCTAAAGGTGGGTTTCCAACCCTGCTTGCAAGGGGAAGAGATGCAGCTGGGAAACTGCCCTTCTTCACTGCTTGTCTTGTGGGCATAAGAAATTGGAACTAACCGTGGAAAGTGAAACAGGGATGAGCAGCTCCCAGTCTCAAGCAAGACCCTCTGTGCTTCCATGGCTCTTGCAGAACAGCCACAAAACATGCCCAAGTGCAACAGTCTTGGGGCTGCCTCAATAATATGTATGTTAAGGTTTGCCTGGAGTCTCTTCATGCTGCCAAAGTCTACCATACAGCAGTGCAGGGGTAAGGCAGCAGTTATGTGACAGCAGAGGTTAGGGAGGCAGATAACTCGGCTCACCCAAGCAGAGTGTCTATCCGGGATGCCCTTAGTGGAATAAATCAATTGGAGCATTGCACCAGGATGCATCTCCAGACCTGGTTTTCTTTTGGAAGGCTGCATAAAGGCAAATGCCCTCAAGATCTGCCCATTGCCTTTGTGGTTGGAGTTGATTTCTTTGTAGGTCAGAAAAATGTATTCCCTCTCCCTGTCATTTGCCCGTTAATATCCACTCCCCATGACTGTTGCAGTGATGTAATCATGCAACATCTTAGGTAAAACCAGAATGAGACATACTATTAAAACAAGACATAAATGCTGATGGCTTTTTTTTATTAAGCAGAGGTTTCAAGATGCAGCAGGAAGTTTCAAGGTTCGGGACAAGGCTTTAGGGGAGCACCTGCCATGGGGAAGATTGCCAGGGAGGATTCCTCTTTCTGAGCTGAAGCCTGTTGAGAAGTTAGCATTCCCGAAGGTACCTCAAGCCAAGAGTCCCATGGCTTCTCCTGCAGAGAAAGAAATCAGTACCTCAGAGACAGAACATCTGTTTGTCTCTCCCTCTGGTGAAGGATCTATCATAGAATAACTTAACCAAACCAGAAAACTTCTGAACACTATTCTAGCTATTTCCTTTTATTACTAACATTCAAAGACAAGATAAAGACTTAATTTAAAGGAAAGAAGAACAAATAGTCTGTAGGAAATAGAGTTCATTTGCTGGAAGAAAGCTCTTCAGCAATTAGTTGGAATCTAGTTGGAACTAGATGATCTTTAAGGTCTCTTCCAACCCATACCATGGTATGATTCTATGATAATTACTTAACAGGGAAATTAAGAACTCTACTAAATGATATCTATTTATATCTGAAATAAAGGAATTCCTGGCAAATTGTCCCAATTAAAAAGCTGACCCTTGCTAGTAGGAGCACAGGCAAACACAAAATAAAAGAACTTTTTTTCTGCAACCAGTCTCCAAGACTAATTAGTTAAAGCTAAGTTAGTTCACCATTTAGCTACTGAAGAGATTTATTTTCATACATACAGGAATGCATTGCAGAATAAGCATTTGTTGGCGTATGTTATGCCGTCGGTCCCGCAGTGTGGTACGTACTCCAAAGTACAGACATCTCTGGGTACCACGTAGTCACTGCAGTAATCTGCTGGCTAGATACAATGATTGTTCACAAAAAAGCTCTCAACAACAGGTATGTAAGAAAGGTGACTTTAGGAGACCCCCCCACACACCCTGAGCTCCCCCCAGTACTGACCAGCAGCAATTACCGAGAAAAACCCCAGGGACGGGGCAGGACTACGGTGGTACATTGCCCTCAGTGATGCAGAGCCATTGTAAATGCTGCTGCAGTAACTTTGACAGTAACTTGGACACAAACTGAATACTGCACTACTTGTTGAAGCTATCATCAGATGAAAATGGCAATTTCACCCAATAATATCTGTGGCAAATATTGTTCAGACAGCTGGATGACTCGGGATTTTGAAATGCTCGATCACAATGTGATTAGTAAGGATTTCTACAGAAACTGCTTTAAGGAAAGAAATTATGGCAAACAGAAAGGTCTATCCCTTACCTGCTGTGCATCAGTATCTGGAAAAAAAGGAAAAAAGAAGGAAATATGAAACAAATGCAATTTATGGGTTCTGTTAAAACAACTGTGAATGCATGCTCTGAATACACAAATTCCAATCCAGTGTTTGTTAGCAAATTACTTCTTAGACAAAAGGAATTTCAGGAAAAACTTTGTGCCATATTTTATGTTTACAACATTGATTAGAATGTTTACAACAACTGATTCTGTAGTATAACTTTTTAATGAGGTTTACAGCCAAGATGGAAAAGGGTGTACAAAATGAAAGAAAAAAAAAAACAAACAACATTTTCCATGGTTCAAAGGATGGAGCAGGACATGTAGTCAAAGCTAAGCAAGTTATTGAGGCACACGGGTCGTAAAGCTGGCAAGTACACAGAGGGTATGCATTGTCACAGTAGCTCTTAAATAAGAGGACTATTTAGTGAGATGTAATTTTTATAAAGCTTCTACAGCTGTTCAGGCTCTCAGATTGCATCTCAGTTCAGGATGACTACAAGAAATGTTCGCTTTCATTCAGTAAAATAATTTGTGTTTCTGCAACATTTCAGAGGTTAAATACTGGATGTCTGAGTCTCCGGGTTGTACCACGTACATGTCACTTCTTTCATTATGCATAAACTAGCGCTGAGAGTAGAGCTGTTCCCACAGTTGTTCTTACCCACTCAGTTCTGTTGCTAAAATATTACCCCATAAGTGATAGTCTTTGATGTCAAGTCTTTTCAACACTATCTTTCTAGGAGTAAATAAGTCCTTGTAGAATGAAGCTCTTTCCAGTCTGAGGATGCTTTTTGTGGTTTTTGAGTAAGCCAGCGCTTACTCAAAGGCAGAGCAGGAGGCAGTAAAGCTACTCACCTGGGATGCAGCAAAGAGCAAGAGCAAACAGCAGCAACACGCCTGCTGTCCTCATGGTGGCTGAAGCGTCTCCCTGCAGCGGAGCTTGTGCTTTGCTCAGGAAACGAAACCTTAATTCTGCCCTCAGGTGGTAACCACGCTTATATATACGTACGCATGTTTGTGTGCACGCGCGGGCATTCACTTTTGGGTCACCCACCCTCATTCTGAAGAACATTCCTGGACTTTTGTGAGGTGGCAATCTCAACAGAGGTGAGCCATGCTGGAAGCCAGGAAGAATGCTTCTTTGTCAACAAGGGTGTCACAAGAAGTTTAGATATGTTAGAAGCACTCTCTGTGTCATTATTTCAAGTGAAATATGTGACAGGTTCCTTCTGAAGGATCACAGAAAATTCCTGCAGGCAAAAGAGCAACCATAAAAACCTAAGCAGCGACTGCTGTCAGATTTTCTCTAAGTGCATCTATCAGTGTCCATTTACATGCAATGCTTTTTCACGAGCAAAATGTTGAATGAATGGCTTCCAGAGTGGAAAGTCTCTAGTTTTATTTTCATGCTTCATCCCAGTAAAGTATCATTAAGTTATACTGAAACCAGGAAAACAGTGAACTGGGAAGGCAAGCAAGAGGGTGTCCCACACACTGAAGGGAGTCCTTGGACTGGACAAGAGATGAAGCAACTTTTATGGGCATATACAAAGAATTTACAATTGCTATTTCCCCTAAAAGCCATTAGCATTGTGGGTTAGATTTGCAGTAATGGACTGATAGTCTGATGATGACAGAATGATGTGAGACCCTAGCCTGGATCCCAGAAAAGTTGAACCCAATCTGGAAATCACCGCTTCATCTATCTGCCCATCTCAATATAAATCCTTTGTTTTACTACTGAAGCATTACTTTTTTGGACAACCTCATTCCACCAAGAAAACAAACATCCCCCTCCCTTTGAATCCCAGAAGAAATGCATTTGGGAGATATTACTTTTTAGAAGGGATATGCCTAATTTATTTATGTTTCTCTTGTATGCATCAAAACCCCACCAATTCAATACTCCAACAGAAGACAAAAGCAGAATAAATTTCATGAACAATACACCAATGACAGGTCACACTCTCAAAAAACAGAAGGATACTTTGACCTCAGATTTTGAAACACTGCTGAAATACTTCTTGGGCTGGCAAAGAGTATTATGTTATTAAAGACTAAGAGAGAAGACAAGTAGTCAGAATTAAGTCTTCCCTAGGAAGACATTTATCTTAAAACACTTGGAGGTGATTAAAGGACGAGTTCAAGACGAGAAAAACATAGAAATGTGTCATTTGGAGAACCCAAACAAATAGGCAGGGCCCACTCACATGTCTGAAAAATACGGGCTTTGCTGACAGACTGCCCTTGCAGAGTGCTACACTTCAGGTAAGGGCTGTGCTCAGGAGGGCAGAGACCAGCTCTGGGTGCAGACACCACCAGAGCCTGAACAGGCTCTGCTGATAGTGCCTGCACAGGGAAAGTGCACCAGAAATACCTTGGGAGAGATTAGCCAGCATCAGCACTTCAGCACGGTGTTTCAACACTTTACAATGTCGAATGCCTAAAAGGGCCTGAACTCTAACGTGGGCTGACTGTCTTTTATGTGCAAAGTCACACAGCTCTGAGGTTTATGCATCGGTGTTTAATTTTCTGCCTTTTATGAGAGGGAGGGGAGCAAGATGTTCTTATATCCCAGAGCTATGAGCACGTAACCTATTCAGCCTGGCATCAGCATTCAACAAATCAAAAGACAATGTTTCATAAGACAACACATGAAACAAGACAAAATAAATGTTGCTGATTTAGTTTATTGAGAAAGAAAATCAGGAGTGAGCTGAGCTCCCCAGAGGGCGAGATGAACTGAGGCGAGATCTTCAGCTGGGATTTGCCAGTGGGGATCCTGTGGTGAATTGTCTCAGCACCGATACTCAGCATTTTCCAAAACGGCTTAAAGTGAGAGTCCCGTTGCTGTCCCTGAAAGCGAGGAGAAGAAAGAACAGGTTAGACCCAGAATCCTGCTTGCTGTAATCTGTCCTTTTTTCTTGGCTCCTAGAGAAGATATCAGATAGGATCCTGCCCCAGAGCCAAAGAACTTGCAGACTCAAAGTCCTATTAGGTATTTGATTATTAAGAGATAAGTGAAATTATTTAACCCATTCTTGAAACTGAAAATATTTTGTGGAACTATAATGAAACTTCAATTATCTTTTTTTCAATGTGCAAGAAAAACTCCATTAAGTTTAATGGTCTTCAAACCATTCACACTAACAAACCAGACACAGCCCTTTGTATGCTCTAATGAGAAGAAAAAAAAAATAGAATGGTTGGCTTGATGGCTGGTACTCTCTCCTGCATCAAACCTTCCTGTGTAATCTTATTTAGGTTCCTGCTCTGGCAGGGGGATTGGACTAGATGATTTTTCAAGGTCCCTTCCAATCCCTGATATTCTGTGATTCTGTGAACCCCCTAATCAACACTGGTCAGCAAACAAGTAGCAATTGTGTAAACTTGTACCTAAAGGAGGCAACTGATAACATAAATGTGATCATGTTTGTACATACACGACTGCATTGCAAAAGTTACACTTATTGCTGTATGTTTTGCTGTCAGAGCCACAGAGAGGCATGTCCTCAGCTGAGCAGGTAGGTTTAGGGTAGTCACTGCAGTCAACCTGAAAAAAAAATAAATAAAAAGTCTGATGTGAAGGATATGAAGGAGTCAATAGCAGAAAGGCTTCAACCCCTTGCTACAGCTGCAGTGCTAATGATAATGATCTAACTAAAAGTAATTAACTTCCTTGCACAATCTGATATAAAATGAGGTGTCAGTTTCTCCTGTGCCAGAACTGAATAATATAAAAATAGATCATAATTTCCTCTTTGAAGAGATGTATATCATAACCTGACCACAGCATTTCTAAGCAGCAGCAGTTCACTCAGTGAACGTGCCATGCTTGTGATCACATTACACCGTGTTCCCAACCTGGCCAGGAAATTAAATGTAAACAACACTGGTGTCTGGAGAAGTGTAGGTGCTGGTGTCTGTCTAAGGATCCAGGATCTCTCCCATAGTCTTAAAACAGGAAGATCAGCACTTAGCTAGATACTGTGAGAGCAGGATTTTGTTTCTTTGTGCAATGGGTGCTACCTACACTTGCTGAGAGGTATTGTAGTGCAAAAAAATGTGTATAGGTCCAGGAAAAGGCTGAGGAATTTCATGGAGGAGAAATCCATCAAGGCTTACTGACTACACAGAAATTGCACCTAGCTGAACTCCATCATCTGCAAATAGCTGGAGGCTGGAAGTGTAGATGTTCCATACATACTCACTCTATTCTTTCTCTCTCCAACACAGTCCTTATGACCCCTGCTAAGAGCAGGCTCTGCATCAGACCATCATGAGCTCAATGGATCATTGGTCTGATCCCAAAAGCCATTTTCTGTTCTTATTCTCAGTTCTGCCATGATAGATTATTTCTGCTACCACTCTTTTACTGATCCCTTCCTGTGCAGTCACCCCCTTCCTTTTCTGATGTTAGTGCAGATAATGTATATTACATGTGGAGAAAGCAAAATCTTCCTTGTGCTGAAGCACAGCAGCAGTTACATTGCTGTAGGAAGCTGCTGGTCTGGGCGCTGCTGCAGGTACACTGGCAGTGCTTTCCCTGACATGAGTGGGACTGAAACCCTGTCCCTCATGATGCAGTTCACTTACTGTAGCAATTTCCCTCTTACATTCACCGTCATGCTTCTTGCCAACAGTGGTTCCAGGCTCCCTGGGAAAGGAAGACACCTGCATTAGGGAGCTTTGCTGAACCCCATGTCCCAGCAATGATCAGCCTCATGTACAACATATGCCATACAGGAGATGTCCAGCTTAGACTGTGTCCACATGGCTCTAGATACCAGCTCAGGTGGAACCACAGCCTGCTGGAGTGATGTTTTATAGCATGATGTGAAGCACAAAGGAGGGTCCAGGTGTTAGGGTGAACTAGGAGCTAGGTTGTATGACAATGTAGATGCACCTTCGGTTAGTTGCTGTCCTCCACAAAGCAGCATCTGCCACATAAACCTTTTTAACTTAGTTAAGAGAAGCATTCTGTCCTGTGTTAGATCCTCACCCAGCCCTCTACTTCTCTGTCTAGATCAAAGGCACAGTTTTCCTTCTAATCAAAGAAAAATGATGTTTAGTTGCCAGGGAAAGAGGAGGGTCAATGTCCAAGTGTCTTACAGAAAAGGTCTGCTATTCAGAAGAGCAGCTGCCAGAAGTGCTAAGCACTTCTTGTCCCTCACAGGAGAGCTCTGCACAGGCAGTACTCACAGGCTACGGGCACACAGCATGCACTCGTTGTCATAGGTGTCCCCATCAGTACCGCAGACAGGGTCGAAGTTTTTGTTGCAGAGAAACACCACTTTGCCTTCCTCGTTTGTTGTGTTGGGATATCTACTGCAGTCCACCTGTTGAGGGAACACACAAAGAAGCACTGGTGAAAGCTTACTTATAGAAAGCAAGTAGATCTGATGAGTGGGTTTGTTTGGCCGCCTAGGATACCACACAGCAAGAAAAGTGCTTTTTTGTATGTCACTATGATGACAGTTCACCTGAAGATGACAAATGCAAGATTCTGACATCTCATATGTTCTCTTATTTAGTGTTTGAATTATTTATTGGGGGAGACAATAAGCAGCTTTGGCTATCAGAAGCAGGATATGCCTCTTGTTTTGCCCTTGATTTCACTTACAGGGACAATTTCCTTGCATTCTCCATCATGGTCTTTGCTGACATTGGTTCCATATTGTCTGAAGAGGAAAAGGCAAAAGTTAGGAAGTTCAGCAAAAATGTCTTGCTACATCCTAGGTGCTGGAAATATGTAACTAACTCAAGGGAAAGCTGATTCTTTATCAGTCATGCATATATATAGTCTTTGAGAAGGTAGTGCCATCCTCCCTGACCAGCTAGCACTGTGTGACTGGCAGGGATGTAAAGACTCTGAGAGCTTTAGGACCATTTTGGGCAGTTCAGAGCAGAGCATCTCTCAGCCCTTTTGCTCTGCTTTGCTGTGATGAGATGTGCCCTAGGGGCTGTCATCTGGCTGATCCTTGAGCTGAAGAAGAAAAACCTGCAAAAGAGAGACACGGTGACTAAAGCAATGTCTAGGCAATGGAGTGCCATGCAGCAATACCCAAGCTCATTTTGAAAGAATTGACACAAGAGATGTATGACAGATCGCTATTTGTTGAAAAGTGGTGCTGCCAGGAGTCCTAAGCATTGCTGCCTGAGAGCTTCCACGCAGTACATACATGTTGTAGGCACAGAGCAGGCACTCATTGCTGTAGGTGACTCCATCGGTACCACAGATGGGGCCGAGGATCTTGGGGCAGACCAACACATCTTTGCCTTCTTCATTTGTAGAGTTGGGATATGTACTGCAGTCTACCTGCTAAAGGAACATACATCAACAGGGTGGAGAAGACATTTTATGTTCATAACTCTCCTGGTGTGTGTAAGCTGGAGTGTCTCATAGTATGTTATTTTTTCAGTAGGTTGCCTTCAGGTAGGTTCTGATATCACAGTCTCTTGCTATCAGTTTAGGGCTAATCATACATGACCAGATTAAACCTTAGACCAGTTTAAAGTTAATGAAAAATGACCTAATAAAAAAATTTTATATCATTACTACTACTACATTATTAATGTACAGCATAGATGTAGAGCAAAGAACAGTACAATTTAATGTTTTACACTGTAGAATCTGATTAAAATGACACTAATTTAATTCTAGGTGACAAACAGCTAAGCATCTACAGGCCTGAGGTTTTTTCAATTCCTTTGGTTATGTCTTTACCAGGCCACATGCCTGCAAAAAGTGACAGAAAGAAATCTTCCACTCACCTCAACCCCAAAGGCAGCATCTGGAAAACAAAAGAGTGGCAGAAAGTGTGAAACAAAGCCAATACAATAAGACCTCAGTTAAAGCTGGAAATCTGGATGTAAAATTCCTCTACGCAGGACCAAACTGAATGATTTCCAGTGACTGGTTTCCTGAACTAAATAAACTATGTATTAATTTTTTTCCTATGTTGATAACTATAATAGCATTGGTTATTGCTGGCTGTGATGAAACATGTTTTTGAAGAGCTTTGTTCTTTTTTATTTCGAGATAGGCAGACTTATTAATTGAAAATAGAATAGCTTTTCCTTCCTTATCTTTTACATATCCGTTTTGACTCTAAGAGCTGCTGTTACATATCTGAAAAGAAACCTGAGTCAATACAGATAAATGCAAATAGTCACCTGCAGGATAAGCAAATGCATACAGCATCTGTTCTCAGGAATATGCATTTTAAAGAAGCTGAGTGTGGAAAAAAAAATTGTCTTTGACTTTGTAATTTCATCAGATGTAAATATGCAGTGAGAACACCAAACTCTGGCTTGTTTTCATCTCTTGTTTCCCCATTAGCAGCAAAAGCATTGCAGGAAAGTTGCCAGGCTCCTGCACAGGACTTGCTTGTGCCATTACAATGTTTTCATGACTAGTTACTGGAAGTCTGATCACCTCGTTACAGCCTTGTTTCAAGTATTTATCCATTTGTACAGTTTATCCAACTGTACAACAACAAGGGTAAGCAGCATAAGAGTGTTAAAACAACAATGTAAAACATGTAACAGCACTAGTAAGCAGCACGGAAATCCACTTGCAGTTACTTGTATTTATGACAACCAGCTGTAGCAGTGATCTATTTAGGACTGTCCTGAAATCTGCTCCTGCATCCTATGTGATACTAACGTACCCAGGCAGCCTAGCTCTTTGTAGGAGAAGATTTTCTCTCTTTGAATCCTCTATCTTATCTTTTTAGATACAGCCAGGACTCAGATATGAAGCCTCTGCGGCACCTTAAGAGTTACTCACCTGGGAAGCAGCAAAGCGCAAAGGAGAGGAGCACAAAAACAACTGCTGTGGTCATGGTGGAAGTATTTCCCCAGTCTGCAGGCTGCCTGCTCCCGCTCTGCTCGTGAGATGGTCTCTCCAAGGCTGACTGCGAATATATACAAATGCAACGTCTAAATTGTTCAACTGTAACATAAAACAACCAGCAGAATCTGTCACTGGTACAATGAAGCTGGTAATATTTATTGAGGTCTTGACTTGCAGGTAATGGTCTGCATCTGCAAGGCAATTGATTTTGGCTGGACATCTGGTTAATAGCTTGAGACAAGTATCACATGTTCTCAGTGGTCAAAACCAAGCAAACAGCCTTTTAGACAAAAGAAACCTCTTGAGGATTCTAGCAGAAACATAAAGAGCACAAAATATTGGGGGAGTGAACAGCAGGTAATTCAGTTGTCCCTCCAGAGCAACACCTCCCATCAGGGAGCAGCTTAGGCAGAGCACTCAGTACTGCCGGTTTGCAGGTCAGGCTAAGAAGCTCTGCTTCCGTTTCTGGTTTTGGGTGGGCTTTTTTCCCCACATTCCTGGATATTCACTACTAGGTATGAACACAAGTCAGGTGTGGCTTTGCCATCAGCAGAACTGGTTAAGCCTTGTCAGGCGAGTCTGGCAGGACTGTGTCTAAGCTGTAAAGCTAATGGTATTTAGCAATGGTTTGATAAAATAAAGGGCTTCTTGACAGTTTCACTGCCTGGGTATAGAAGAGCTCATCAGAAGTCTTAAGAGTAGGTTAAATTCTGTCAAATGCCACTAAAAATGTCACTTGAACCTTATCAGCAGGGAGCACTTATTTACAGACCCAGTCACAGTTAAACAAACTGATCCAAACTGTTCCACCAAGCCATATTAAGAACAAAAGACACTGAAGGTTTGGGAACCTATTTACTTAGCACCGGCTATACTTGAAAGTACAGTTGGTCCTTTCCCTCTACAGATATTTTAGAAAATGACACTTAAAACGTAGAGCCTATCCTAGTTTTCCTGTCTTACACTTCCAGCCTTCGTGCCAATCTCCAAGTTGCTCCTTCCTTGGCTGAGGTCTGGACCTCTGCTGTTTTAGCAGGTGTCATTTTGCAGGAGTGAGTTCTGCCTTTAACCTGTTTCTCACCTTGAAACAGGTCCAAAATGGCAAGCATACCTGGGGTTTTTTGGTCATGGGAGCTAAGCGTTGTGCTTAGGATAACTTCAGCACCATCAGAGCTGCAGAACAGAAGATGCTTTATGGGTGCTCTCTTGAACAAACAAGGCATCACCATCAACCAAAAGAAATTCAGCTGAAACCATTGAAAGTTGGCCCAAGCTGCTGTGTCCATGTCTGACACACCATAGTGGTCTAAAGGGTATATTTTAATACTTAAATGTATAAATTGCACCGTAGCATATGGAATCACCTCTCCTGGGCACTGGCATGTTACGAAGGCTGCAGCATGGCTGTGCGGATGTATAAGGTACATTTTTACATAAAAGCGATGGGTTTCTTCACAGGGAGAAGCATTAAAATAATTATGCTGCTGAGTGTGTTTCTATAAATTACAGGGAGCGTGCATGAATATTTTAGATTTGGCACATCTTCAAGATGTATTGCCCTAATGTGCCTTGTGGATGGTGTCTCTGGAAGCCAGAGACTTTTCCCCTGAGTGAGTACAGGAGCACACTGAGGCTGCTGTCACATGCCACGCTTGTTGCCTTCATCACTTCACACACACACTCTCTGCACAGTTGGAACGAGGTACAGCTTTCTGGGTCAAATAAGATCTTTGCCACTGACTTCTCCAGCCAGGCAGCAAGACCTCTGCAAATCATCCTCCCCACCTTTCCCAGCCCCAACTTGTATACAGCAGAGAAATATTTTCCGCTGCAGGTGCCAGGTTCATCACTGGGTTTGGCACTTACTGGCCCTGAGCAACCCAGATTTCCTCCAACCACCACAACACCCATCTGATGGATGTTCAGTAGATCCATTCCTTCACTCTTGTACCTACAGACACTCTAGGGAAACTCGAGTCTGTGACAACTAAGTGCTGACTGGCAAACACCGGTCTCCCCTGTGAGGCAAGCCACAAAAATGATACCCAGAAATCACCAGGTTTCAGACTCATGCTCAGCCTCCAGCCAATGTCCACAGCTTTCCCCACTCGGAGTTACAGCTCCAGATTACCCTACCTCCAATAACAACATGGAAAAATCCCACAGCTGGCTAAGCTTGTGCTGTAGGACATGTTGCTCAGTTCTTAGCTACACCTGGAAGAACAGTTAGAAAGAAGATTTGGTCTGCAGTCCTGCCACTGATCTCATGCTGTAATACACTTCATTATGGTTTTCTAATCCTTAAAGTCAGATGCAGCATATGGCTAATAACCATTTAGCTAGAGGAAAATCCTCCCGTGTGCAGAGGCCAACGCAAGGGCAGAGATCTAAAAGTAAACAAAGGCAGTGCCACATCTTGGGGTACCACGTGTTATAGTCCTGAGCACCAGAAGGTCTGTGGGCTGACACTGGGGGCAGGGTTTGGCCATTATACAACATCCTCTCTCACTTGCCCAAGGAATTTCTTGTTTTAAATCTCCCATTACAGTTTTTGCCAGTATCGATTTCACATTCTCAGAATCAAAACTGATGT